TGCGATTCACGACAATCTAAATATCTTTGTTGGGATGGTATTTAATCAAGGCGAAGATATGATGCTCATTTGGAAATTTTGCTCACGAGGCACAGTACAAGTAAAAAATTTCGTAACCTTATAGTGCTCAGTTTCACTATGGCAGTCGGGATCGCCCATGAACTAGTGCGGAGTTTTAAATTTACTAGAAGAAAAATAAACGACCGTTCGAGCAGCCGGGGAAAAGATGCTACTCTTACACCGAACAGATGATAGGTACTAAGTGGAAGTGTGCAGCTTAGGATCGAAAAGCCTAACATAGCTGCGCCTGGCGTGTTGAAAGATTTCAATAATAGTGCCAATATTGGATCCTTACAACGACTATTTAGAGGGCCCACGCATCCTTGGAGTCGCCGTGGTGCTGCGGGCTCTTCTGTATAATGTGTGTTTTCAATTAATAACCAATGTCCATCATTCAAATTCAAGAAAAATTAATTTAAAAGATTTTAAAACCATCGAAATCTAGATTTTAAAAAAGTGAAAAACTTTTGAAATACTGTCGGTCGGCAGCTGAAGTAGGCCTGAAGATCCGGACTTTCTTCAGTTCGCTTTTAACTAACTGGAAAAGAAATCGTCTTGTAGACAGTTGTGTCAGTTATTCTTTGAGCTGCCTGACACTTATTAAACTTCATACGTACCATTTAAGCAAGAGTTTTACTTCGGATCCGTTAAATGTTTTTCAGGATATCATTTACAATCCTAGTCTCACACTGGACAATAAATTTCACGCAGCTTTTGTCCGCGACATAACGCTGGTAATTTTTTAGAATTTTTCCAGATATTTTTCATCTTTCATTTCGCACATTCATTGCTTCGAGGTATAAAATTTTTTCAAAAATGAAAACCTTTTGGAAGTAAATGTTTTTTCCTAACAAATTTTTGAAAGGATTTTCTCCTGTAGGGCTTGGAATATCTGCATTCATCACCGATTGGCTATCATGGATCATTATCACCCTGGGCATGCTTGATTGATCGTAACTGGATGGTCAAGTTAACCGATTTCGGGATTGCAAATCCGATCGAACGCTGGGAAAAGCTGGGACTAATCTCTGTAAATGCGCTCACGTCCGATGACGACAAAAGTGGACCAACACAGAAAACATGTCAATTCTTTAAATTTTTGTTGAATTCCCTGCAAAACTTCATTCAGCCTTTTGTGGTTATTTTAAGGACTGTTGTTATCTTGGAAAAATCGCGCGGTTCTATTCCATATAATATCTGGGAGCCCATAGCTACGCTCTTTGTGATTTTGTCTGACAGGGGGGCAATCTGCCAAATTTCACTGAGTTTGAGGATTCTATGCTTGTAAGGTCAGATGGATATTTAACATCAGTGATGCTACCGGGATGCTTCCATACGCTAGGTTCATCAGTGTAGCCAGTGCACCTATTCTTCATTTTGGAAATACACTCTCACCACATGAAAATTGCTC